AAACATTAAGCAGCTAGCTAATGCGTCATATGTCAACATTTTTTTGGTTGATGTAATAGGTTAATTTTCCCAAAATATATTCCATGCTACCATGGATATGATACATTATGTTGTCTCTGGCACTGCTATTTGTTCTGCATAAGTGGGACACACACAATTTTTTGTCCCACCTAAGTTCAAAAAATTTCAAAAGTGGAATACATAATTCTAATTTTATTGAAATGAAACTGGATCAAGACAACGGAAATTTTGCCTACCAATTACCTGGAATCGAAGCAGCAGGACAGGAAAAATGAAAGATCAAGAGGCATCGTCTAGCTCAGATTCTGAATGAAGCCCCTGAAAAATATATATATATATATATTATCTTCCAACTATTCATTCAGAGCAAGACCCTAATATCTAAAACTCAAAATTTATGCATAAGCTCATCATCAGTAAATTTCAAATTTACAAAAACTAGAACCTGAAACAACTCAAAATTACAATGGCGGTAACAATAGAAGAATTATATTTGAGCGAGTTACCATCGTGAAGAGTATCAAAAAGTGATGCTATACTTCTCAATAGACTTCAAAAAACCAGATTTACAAAGTTCAAAGCTCGTACATGCATATCTTTTTGAATGAGGTGTAATAATGCAAGTTAAATGCACAACAGCAAAATAAAGATTCTCTTAAAGTCGTAACAAAAATGCAACCTCAAGATATAATTAAACATGGTGTAGAAGTAAAACCAACACCATCACTAATACAACCACTAGTACATTAGTTTCAACTTGCAATCAAACATAGTTGATCATCTTTTAGAGAAAACATTTTCTAGAAAAATAATTTCCATAAAAAGGCTCGGGTCATAAGGTGAAGTAGTTAATCTTACCTTGCAGAAATGTGTAAAGATTGCTAGTGGCAAATAATGGGGCTATTTTTCCATGGGCACCTATGAATAATACAAGATAAAATAAAAAATGAGAATGAAAATTATCCATTCATTATTAAGGAAAAATTAAGAGAAAATGAAATATATTTGAAAGAAAAAGACAAAGAATGAATTGAAAAACAAAGTAGTGTGTTTAATCAGTAATGTATTGGTAATTTCAACATTCACAACAAACTGGAACTCTCTTACTATTCAAAAGAAGTAGATAGTAAACTCTCAGTTGTGATAAAAATCTGAGATGATATTGGTAATGAGAAAATAAATAAATAAATAAAACGGTAAGACAGATTTTGTGTTTGTTTATTTGTTTGTTTGTACATTGCAGTTGGCTGGTTAATCTAAATCTACTACAGGAATGTATTTGATGATGGGCCAATATTGGCCTTTGCCCTTTTCACACTTCTGTTTCAGTATTCGACTACATCCATAGAACCTCAGTGCCAAAAGCGACGGAGGGAAGCCTTGTTCTGGAAAGGTCGCAAGCTTAGGACAATCGCAGATCAAGTAAACCTTGTCGGTAGGGACGCCAGTTTTTCAACATTAGAAATGCTCAGAGCAGTTATTGAAGTCAAATGCTTAGACATTTCATTAGCCAGTAATTCTTCATCAGTTGTGCTTGGATCACAAAAGGAGTCGAGAACTGTAACATGTCTAATATCCAAGGTGAGGGAACCAAGAGTGCTGGAAAGCTTGGGAGCATAACATTATTCATCGGCAAGGACGCAAGTGATGGCTGAACAAGGCTCAAAACATCAATCAACAACTGTGGACAACCATCAATTTTGAGAGAATTGAGACAAGGGAGATCATTTGGTAATCTTCCAACAAGTTTGGGACAATTTATGATGGAAAGCTCACTGAGATGACCGAACGGCTGAACTCCCTCTGTTTCAAAAGCAGACCAATGCTCCCATTCTGGCATAACCTCAAAGCTCAGTCTCTCTAAAGAGAGGAAAGGTTTGGCACCACACTGCTGCCTATAGAATTCACAACCTAGGCGCTTCATTGCAGTCATTCCTTCAATGTAAAGGTTTTTAAGCAATGGTAGTTGTCCAAGCGGTGGCAAAGATGTGCAACATTTGCTACCTTTTAATCGCTTGAACACCATTTTGGAGAACGAAACATCTCCAACCCAGTTTGGAAATTTTGTATTGCTATAGCGACCCCGGTCTTTTCCCGTTTGATTATTGTATCTGGACTTAGGTTCCGTAGATTCTGTCATTATATAATTGTTGTTGTTGTTGTCCCTTATTTTCTCATTTGGAATTATAGGATGTGTTTGGGCAGGTTTGTTTCAGGTTGGTAGGGTTTAGAAACCAAGTGTTGCTGTCCAGAATTTTGGATCTTCGCTCGAGCGAGGAGTTTGTCGCTCGAGCGAGATGTTGTTTTAGTTCTTCGCTCGAGCCGAGGTTTGGTTGCTCGAGCGAGAGTTTGCGTCTGGCTTGGACCAGTAGCTTTGCATTCTTGGCTCGAGCGAGCTTTTCTTCGCTCGAGCGAGTTAGTTCATTCTTCGCTCGAGCGAGAGTTCCTTCGCTCGAGCGTGTGTCGGTTACAGACCGGGGTTTGAGTCCTTCGCTCGAGCTAGATTTCTTCCGCTCGAGCGAGCTTTTTGGGTTTGTTGGCTCGAGCAAGGCTTTCTTGGGCTCAAAAAAAGCGTAGTTTTTCTGTGTCTGTCGCTCGAGCGACCACATCTTCGCTCGAGCAAGCCTGTCAAGGTTTAAATAGGCAGCAGCGTGTTTCAAGATCTGTTGTTTCTTGCACTTTCATATTCCAAAAAACCCTAGGTTTACGAGTTCTCTCTCCTCTACACACCCTTCTCTTTTAAGGATTATCTACTTATGAGTAAGTTTCTACTTAGATCCTTTATTAAGAAAGATAGAAGTGGGTCGAGGCTTCCATTTAATCTGAATTGAGTTGGTAGTTTGGAGCACTTTGGAGTTGGGTCTTCATCTCCGTCTTCTCTTTTGGGGCATTTCTTCGGAGGTAGGGATTTCCTAACTGCCATTTATAGTTTGTTCTAAGTTTTGGCATTTTGATATTTGGTGGATACTTTGGTGAGTTTGGGAAAACCTCTAGTTGTATAATAAATTAATTTGTATAATTAATCCATGAACTTGGAAGAAATATGGTTAACATATGTGAATTGGGGAATTCATGTGATTAAATGGGTAGTTTGGTTATTTAAAATCAATTCGTCTATTATGTTGGTATATTTATGTTCCAAGTCAGAAATATTGTTTTGGGGCTATCGGTGGATAGATAGCGTGCTTGTTGGTAGACACTGCATGTGGATTAGGGAAATACTGAAACTAATCATTGATTAAGTCATCAATTTGACCTGCTGAATTAATACAGACTTTATAATGTGTATGTGATTGTGTGTTGGTATATTTATGTGTTGATACATTGTTTTTGTGGTGGAGCAGGATATAGGGGATGTAACTCCACGGTTTAGGGGAAGATAGGGGAGTAGGAACTCTAAACCGGATCTTGTTTGGGAGGAGATGGGAGGACTCCATTAGCCATCACTTTATGTGTGCTTTATTATATAGTAAGTGTTTTATTGATACAGCACTAAAAATGTGTATCAATTCTGGAAGTATGAGTGTTGATTTGAGCTTTGAGTCTCATTTGTTGTTGATATTCGAAAGGACGTGAAATATGATATAATGTATATCCACTGTTGTAAGTTTGGACCAGGTTCTGAGCCATGTTGTGATAAAATTGGAAGTAAGAACGCTGTGTTAGACAATAGTGGTCATGAGACCAGTAAAATGAAGTATATTGATTATCTTGGTTAACCATTTGTTGAATGCTATTGCTTTATTCATTACTTATTTGTGGTTTAGTATATTTCTGCTGGGCTGTGGCTCACCCTTTATGGGAACATCATTTTCAGGTTCAGGTGATAAGCTACCTCCAAGGACTTAGCTTGGAAGGACTTGGATTTTGAAGACTGTTTTTAGTTATTTGTTTTTTTTGTTGTTAGTACATGTAAACACTCAAGCCTAGGGCTTTATTTATATTTGAGTTAGAACTCATACTTTGTGTCCAAGTGTTGGCTTGGAAAGATGTAAGCCGGTAGGGCATTTACTTTGATGTTACATGTAATGCTTTTGTTTAGTAAGACTCTGATGGATATTATAATGAATTATTAAAGTGTTTTCCTTAATTAATGCATATCAATGATATATATAATGGGTTTATTTTTGAGGGCGTGACAATTGCCATACCCACTAATGGTGAGTCGTTCCAACAATTTGAAAGGTCTCATCACGTCAAGCACATCCCTTTCAACTATGTCATTCTGTGAACTATGAGATTCATCCCATTCTAGTGATAACTCTTTTAACTCCTCCTTAAACATTAAATTGGCATCTCTTGCATCCTTAACACCACTGGCATTCTCTAGTCTTGATATGTGTATTGCCCCTCGAATGTGTGATAGGTTTTTCAACTCTCCTATTTTACGACCACAATCTTTACCCACCATAAAATTTGACAATGTTTGGAGATTAATTAATTTACCTATATGTAGCGACATCTCTTCTGATGATGGAATATGCATGCTAGTCATGTTAAAATGACGCCAGTCATGTTAAAATGGCGCCAATTCACCAGCCTCCCCATGTTTAGAGGCAACTTCTTAAGTTGATGACAAAATTTCAAAAACAAGACTTGTAAATTGTAGAGAGTTACCACTGTGTTAAGTAACCTTGTAATCCTAGAACCAGATACATCAAGATACCGCAAATGCTTTAGATCTCCAACGGAATCTGGTAGTTCAATTATACCAATGCCACACAAACGCAACTCGCGTAAGCATTTTAACTTTGGCAACAAATCATGTATCAAGTACCTTGTTACACAGTGAAATTGTTGTTGTGGCAAAAATTCTAAGAATGTTCGTAAGCATTTGGCATCATCGAAAGCTTTAAATTTTTTGATTCCATCATAATGGCTAGTAACATAAGATGCATGGCGTGCTTTGTCCGAAATCTTGTTCTGCCTCCACCCTTTAAATTATTTTCCAACCTAAAAGATTTGTCCCCTGCAACATCTTAAGCCAAATCATTGATGAGGTCATGCATTATGAATTGCGATTTGTTACCACTTGACAGTTGAAAAAATGATCTTGACACCAATTCGTGAAAATACTTGCGGCCTAAATCTTCCATTTGGTCTCCACCTTTTGGTTGCTCAATTAAACCTTTAGCCATCCATAGCAAGACTAATTCCTCATTCGTGAATTCGTAGTCCTTTGGGATAATTGCACAATAGGAAAAGCACCTCTTCAAATGGACCGGGAGATGAAGGTAGCTCAATTTTAATGCTGTGAGAATGCCACTTTCCTCATTCCCTATATTGCTGTTTAGTATCTCTTTCCATTCATGTTCTTCTTGTTTACAGCATAATAAGTTGCCAAGGGTAAGCCTCTGCACCTGTTCTCAACAATTTTCTTACCAATTGATACCAATTCTGGGCATTCCATGATATTTCTATTGTCAAATGCACGTTGGGCAAAGATTAACCAACAATCATCATATCATAAGTTTTTCAAATTGAGATATTCATCCATACCCATCTGTTTTACAACACCTCCTTCTCGCGTTGTCACAATGATTTTACTTCCAGGTGCTCCGGCTCCAAATGGCAATCGTAGCGAATTCCACCCATCATGTCCATAGTGCCACACATCATCTAGGACAAGCAAAAACTTTTTTTCTGCCAGTGTGTCTCTTAGTTGGACTTGAACCTCATTTAACTTGCCCAAATCACATGTACAGTGAGTGAATGACTCCAAAATTGCCTTTGTTGTTCCCAGAATGTCGAAGTCAACAGAAACACAAACCCATGCTTTCATATTGAAATGCTTTTCTACTTTGTTGTGATCATAAATGTGCTGAGCTAGTGTAGTCTTGCCGATCCCACCCATTCCTACAATAGGAATTACATCGAACTTTTTTGCAGTAGGTGCATCCCCAAGTAGCAATCCGATAATTTGTTTGATGTCTTCATCTCTACCATGAATGTGAGGCTCCTTCAAACATGTAGTTTGTGATCTCTGCCATAAATCTGTAGGCATCTTTCCAACAAATCTTTTATCTAAACCAAGTTCTTTTCCTTTCGTAGCAACTTTGTGTAATTGACTGGTGATATCAATTAGATTTGACCCATTTTTTAAATTGAATGGAACAATATTAGAGAGGCGTGGGAACTTAGCTGGTCTTCTTTCGATCGTCGTCTCCTCTACCATTAGCTTCTTTTCGAGATTGTTAGTGGCAAAATCATCCAATATGTCGTCTGCATCGTAAGCCAAATGGTAAACCTCTTCAAGCCACTTTTTGATATCCTTGTGGTATATCTGTTTGTTCTCTGCATCAGCCAACAAAGTCTCTAAATCCTCTAATGCCTTCTTCAAATTCTGGATGCTCGTGCCAACGTCCGCTGTGCTCACTAAGTTGCTAAAAAAAGAAGACAATTTATCAAACATAGCTTGTACGAATAGAGAGATAAAGATCCCAAATACATCCATGGTGTTTGTTCTGAAAGCAATACAGATATCCATGTTGAATTTTCATTTTCCATGGACTTCTTGGTTTCTAGTCCTTTTTTTTATTTTTATTTTTATTTTTTTGAAAAATCATTTTCTAGTTCTTCTATGGATTAGGTAGAAATGTGAGAGTATGATGAAGTATAGGCTCACTAATTAGTGCCTCTATAATAATCAAATTTCTAAAAAATTAAACATTTATGCTGTGTTTGGTTGGGGGATTTGGAGAAGGATTTGGAAAAGGAATGAAAAAAGATATGTGAAACTATATGAAATTTAGGTATATTTTATTCACATTTCACCTACCATTTCCATTTCCATTTCCATTTCCAAATCCCTCCTCAAATCCCCCAACCAAACACAGCATTAGGCTGTGTTGGTTCATGAATTTAGGAAATGATTTGGAAAAGAAAAGGAAAAAAGTAGGTAAAATGTAAATAAAATATACCTGTATTTTCACACCCTTTTTTCCTTTCATTTTCCAAATCTCTCTCCAAATCTATGAACCAAACACACAATATTAAAAGGTAGCAACCTTCTTAGATTTGAGCTTTGTGATTCGAGTGTTCTGTTCCAATAATTTATTAGTCACCTCACCTAACCTCACCTAACGGCTTATTAAAAATTTAATTAATAGTTTTACCATTTTGTTTCAAGAAATACATCTGCAATTGTCAACTTTTTTCATTTAGTATTTGATTGCACGCCAAGTCAAACAAACTGTCTCCTTTTTCACACTTGATAGCAATTGATGCGTTAATTTAAAATCAAGGAGTAGTAATAGTATTCATTGAGATCTCTCGTGGAAATGGTGAACCTTGCTGGTCAAACTATAAAGGTATATATGATAATAATTTATTTTTTTTAAATACTGTGTTGAAAAGTATTTAAGAAAAAAAATTAGTGATAAAAAATTGAAAATATCACTTATAAAAGTATATTCAGGACTAAAACAAATTCATACCAAAAAGTTTATTTTTGTGACCAAAATTTTAGTTCCAAAAGCATAGTAATTCATTACGAAATTTTCAATTTTGTCGTTAAAAATACAATAATGACACTTTTGGCAACTAAGATAATTTGTTCCTAATTTTTTTCTCTCTAATACGTTGATTTGTTGTGGTGATGACCAGCTATGGGCAAGTTCGGATCAAGGGAAGAAATTAGTCATAGCATATAGATTTTATGGAGATTATTAGAATCCAAATATTGAGAGTTGCCTTTGCAAATATCAAGATATAAAGTAAATTAGTCATAGACTTATGTGCCAAAGTAGCAACCTCCCACAGAATGACACCAAAGCTGTATATACCTCACCAGGAGAATTAACATAAGACACAAAATAAATTTCCAAAACAAATTACTGGGTTGCCACTATATGTGGATCCTCCACATCAAAAATCTGAGAGACTATAACAGAAAGGATATCCATTCTAGATTAATCTGTGTAATCTAGGTAGGTATCTTGAGGCTTTGCTTCAAGTTGTTGCCTCTATTTAAAACTTGGCTGGTATTCTAAAGATAACATCACATGGAGACATTGGATAGTTCAAAATTCGATTTCGTTGGGAGTGATTTTAGGCACGTTTGTGGTTCATTATCTTTCAACTTCCTCTTCTAATGAGCTAGATGTCCAATGGCTAATAGCCACATTACATATGGGATTTATTTCATTAATCAACAGTGAACCTTTGCAGCTGCAACTCAACTAAAAAGAGCACAGAGATAATGAACCACACTAATTTCATACTTTTACTTCTAGACAACACCTATGTCCTAATACAGGAAAGGAACTTTCAGACAATCCTAACAACAGACATATGTCCTAAAAAGATTTATTCAATGAAGAAAAGCCTCAGCAGTTATATAATCAAAGATTTGAAACTTGTGATCAATCTACCTACATGCAGAAGCAGAGGAGTTAGGAATTGAGAAATTGAAGGACTGCCTATTGGGAACATTTTGAACTGCTTTATAGATTAAATTTTGGATTTTAATTTTTTTTCTTTTCAAGGATGAGTTCTGAATTTTTTTGGGGGGTAACATGTTATGTAGAACGAAAGAAAAAAAAAATGAAAAACAAGGTGGCTTAGATTCATAAGCAAACAAAAGAGTGGAGTGACGATTGAAGCTAAATGAGAGGAAATTATTATGAAGACAGGAAATGGCTGCAAATGTCACACACCATTTCAAAGAAGCTTCTCAGTGCCTTGGATGTTAAAGTCGTTTGTCCTGGTTATATTGAAAAAGGCCAACCTTTTGTTTTCATTTGTAAATCTTGTGCTCATTTTCTGTTAATCTGTTCAGAAAATCAGTGTATTGTTAGTATTGTCTTATTGTATATTGATATGAACAACATATTTGATTTTGGATTAATGATAATGATATGATCAAGAATGTGTTATTTGTTGTGTAATCTTTGATTGTGCTTTTTGAAGATCATTTGCAAATAAGCAACATATACATGCACATACTGGTATTAGGAATAGCAATCAAACTAATGATTCAATCATAACTTACATTTGTTATAAAATCTAAGATTGTAGTTGAAGTTAATACAATTTTCTTTACTACTGTAATATCTTTATAGCGATCCCGATTTTCCTGTTGTTGTTTAACTATAGTCTGGAATCAGTTCCGTAGATTTGTTGTTGTCTTATCCTCATTTCTATCCCTTACTCTTTGTCTTAGAGTTTTGGGTTGTGTTGGGCAAGTTGGGAATTAGTTGGTTGTGTTTTAAAGCTTTGAAATTTTGCCCAGGTTTTGGTCTATCCGCTCGAGCGGCGGTTTTACGCTCGAGCGAGCTTTTGTTGCTGCCTTTCCGCTCGAGCGGCAGTTTGGACGCTCGAGCGTGAATTTCCTTCTCTCAGCATTTTGGTCGTCTGCAGAAAATTCTGGGAGAGTGCATCCGGCGCTCGAGCGGATATTTGGACGCTCGAGCGTGAACCTGTGTCTGACGCTCGAGCGGGGTGTTGTACGCTCGAGCGGACCTGCTTTTATATCAGTTCGTGAAACCACCTTTTTGATCACTTTTTGATTTCCTTCATCTCTCTTACTTTTCCGAAGAAGCCATTTTTTCCGTAACCCCCATTTGATAGAGAGAGAGAAGTGGGTGTTGAAACCCAATTGATTATTAAACAAAAAAACCCAATACAAAATTTCATTTTGTATTTTGAGACATTTGATAAAAATTTTAAAATGTTTAACGTTTTTGTTTTTTCTATTATAGCTCATCCTCAACAGCAGCATTCAATAGATTATAGGAATTATTATCACCAAAAATAGGGTGCAAAATAAAATGGGCTGTTGGATTATGCAACAAAATAAAACAGGGTGCAAACAGCCCTATAATGCAACAAAATCAAAATCCATCATATTTTTAACCCATTTCAATAGTTACAAAAATAGAAAGACACCCTTTAATGTTTCAATTTCAGTGTAGTCCGAATGTAATTGTCATTGGTAGGGTTCAATGAGATTTTTGCTT